GATGCGCTTAGTCATCGTGACATCATTTATTTAAGGGCAATATAGTAATTAAGGGAAATGTTGCGCCGTAAGTTAGTCAAACCCCTGCTTCGAGAACTTAAAATTTTATTAGTCAAGTACGATTATGACCCCACATTATTATGTGCCGATTCTGCTGGAACTCATCTGGTTGCCTATGGCGCAAATTACATTAACAGGCCCGAATGAGCCCTGAATGAAACCCATTAAAACATCTGGCCTAGGTCCGAATTCTTATATCATCTAAACGACAGCGTTTTAAGTCTCGTTAATTGTGGCGGACAAGAAAATGCGAGAAGCCGATGATGACAATTCATAAATGCTACCGTTTACGATGATGCATAGATTCTCTCCCATAGTCGAGTTTTATCTTAGCAAACGTCAATTTTTCTTACTTTCTTCTCAATTCAAGTCTCGCTTTGACTTGATTCACAGAAGTTTTCACGTTTCTAGAGCTCTCGAAGATAATTTCCGGAGAAGTAACGGGATTGGCTTAGTTTGTCTCGAGAAGAACCACAACCACAACGATCGTACGAAAAACTCCAAGTACGATGAATTCGCGAGTGATGTCGAAAAAGCCTACAGGATTTTGCGGAAATTTCATTCTAGGGTTCCGAAGTTGGAACTCGCGCTTAACGAATCCGGTGTTGAACTCCGACCCGGGTTAATCGAACGGGTTCTGAATCGTTGTGGGGATGCTGGGAATCTAGGTTACAGATTTTTCGTCTGGGCGGCGAAGCAACCTCGTTATTGTCATAGCATCGAAGTGTATAAATCAATGGTGAAAATTCTAAGTAAGATGCGTCAATTTGGAGCTGTTTGGGGTTTAATCGAAGAAATGAGGAAGGAGAATCCGCAGTTGATTGAACCGGAATTGTTTGTGGTTTTGGTTCAGAGGTTTGCCTCTGCGGATATGGTGAAGAAAGCCATTGAGGTGCTCGACGAAATGCCTACGTTTGGTTTAGAGCCAGACGAGTATGTATTCGGGTGTTTGCTAGATGCGTTGTGTAAGCACGGTAGCGTTAAGGATGCTGCAAAGCTTTTCGAGGATATGAGATTGCGGTTTCCAGTGAATTTGAGATATTTTACTTCGTTGTTGTATGGTTGGTGCAGGGAAGAGAAGATGATGGAGGCTAAATATGTTTTGGTTCAGATGAAGGAAGCTGGGTTTGAGCCAGATATTGTTGATTACACCAACTTGTTAAGTGGGTATGCTAATGCTGGTAAAATGGCTGATGCTTATGATCTTTTGAAAGATATGAGAAGAAGAGGGTTTGAACCGAATGCAACTTGCTACACGGTTTTGATTCAAGCATTGTGTAAGGTAGATAGAATGGAGGAGGCAATGAAGGTATTTGTTGAGATGGAGAGGTATGAATGTGAGGCTGATGTTGTGACTTACACTGCATTAGTTAGTGGGTTTTGCAAATGGGGAAAGATTGATAAGTGTTATCTAGTTTTAGACGATATGATAAAAAAGGGGCTCATGCCTTCTCAACTCACCTATATGCATATCATGGCAGCTCATGAGAAAAAGGAAAAACTTATAGAGTGTTTGGAGCTGATGGAGAAGATGAAGCAGATAGAGTATCATCCCGATATTGGCATTTACAATGTCGTCATCAGATTGGCTTGTAAGTTGGGAGAAGTAAAGGAAGCTGTTAGATTATGGAACGAAATGGAAGGGAACGGTTTGAGTCCTGGAGCAGATACGTTTGTTATTATTATCAATGGATTAACAAGCCAAGGTTGTTTACTCGAAGCCTGTGATCACTTTAAAGAAATGGTAGCTCGAGGATTGTTCTCCGTTCCTCAATACGGAACTCTGAAGTTATTGCTAAATACCCTTTTAAAAGACAAGAAGCTCGAAATGGCAAAAGATGTTTGGAGTTGCATCACAAGTAAAGGCTCTTGCGAGCTGAGTGTATCATCGTGGACAATATGGATCCATGCCTTGTTCTCAAAAGGTTATGAAAAGGAGGCTTGTTCTTATTGTCTTGAAATGATAGAGTTGGAGTTCATGCCACAACCAGACACATTTGCTAAACTTATGAAGGGATTGAAGAAATTGTATCATAGAGAATTCGCTGTAGAGATTACAGAGAAAGTGAGGAATATGGCAGCTGAGAAAGAGATGAGTTTTAAGATGTATAAGAGAAGAGGAGTGCAAGATTTGACTGAGAAAGCTAAATCTAAACAAGATAGAGAAGGGAAGAAGAAGCAGAGGACTCGATAAAGCCTTTTTTTTTTTTTTTGTTGAGTCTTCGTACACTGCATGTTGTTTTTTTGAAGCTTGCAAGTGTCGGCAAAACGGCAAGAAGTCAATGTGTTAGTTAAATGCGCAGAACTAAAACGACAGCGTTTAAGGAGCAGCGCACTCGTAATAATAACACTAGCCACTAGGGACGAAGCTTTCGTTTAGTAAAATTTAGCTTAGAACACAGACAGAAGCATTTTCTCGGATCTGAGATCTTTAGATCCGAACATCGTTTATTTCAAATTGTTGATTCATTTCAAGGTATGTCATCTTCCTCTTCGAATTCTTCAGTATTGTTTTTGGGTTTTTTTACATTTTCCGCTTATCGGATTTTTCGTAGAGTGAATCCTCTGTTTCATGGATCTATCCATGGTATTGATTTGTTTCTGTGCATTTATGCTCTGCTTGTTGCTATTATGTTACTGAAATGGTACAATGAATCTGAACGAATCTGTTTTGGTAATTTGTATTCCTGATTCATGGATCTGTTTTTTTATTCCATATCTGGTAAAATTTTTTTGATGCGTTAATGATTATTGCATCACTGAACGAAAGAAGCAGCTAAAGCTAAATCAAAGTTTTGAATTTTGTCGGTAGTTCAGAGAATGGCGTTTATTCTAGTTCGTACTTGGTAGTGTTTTTGTGGTTTTGGAGATGAATCTATCCTAATGTCTATTTTGTTTTGAAGGTCTTAAAAAAAAGTTTTTGAGGGATCCCAGCCATGTCAAGAAGGCAAGTAAGGCGTGTAGGGGATAGTGGAAGCTTCCCATTTGTAGGAGCTTTGCATTCGAAATCGCGTTCGTCTCCTTTGTTATCTGTTTGCCTTGTTCTCGTGGTATGTATGATGCTTTGTGCGTTGTTGTAAATCTCTAAGTAATTCGTTTCATAGGATACAGATTGATGTAATCCTTTTTATTTTCCAGGGAGCATGCCTTCTCATTGGTTATGCTTACAGTGGTCCAGGTGTGTATTATCTTCAACTAAGTATATAATGTGTTTTTGCTCGTGGTTTTGATTTGAAAGCCCTAATGGATACAATTCGTGTGATTACAGGTATGTTCAAAAGTATCAGAGAAGTCAGCAAGATCACAGGTAATTCTTGTTTCTCATATTTAATGCAAGTGTTTATGATTAGTGTTCAGACAGTGAGGATGATTTTCATAAATTAACCTGCAAGAATGCGTGACAATTGACATTAACTGTCGAATTTTGTTTGACAACTCTCTACAGGGGACTACTCTTGCACAGCAGAAGTTCAAAGAGCCATTCCTGTTCTTAAGAGTGCGTATGGAGATACCATGCGCAAAGTCTTGCACGTGGGTCCCGAAACATGCTCAGTCGTCTCGAGTCTGTTGAATGAAGAAGAGACGGAAGCATGGGGTGTTGAACCGTATGATGTGGAGGATGCAGATTCTAACTGCAAAAGTCTTTTGCACAAAGGCCTTGTACGTGTGGCTGACATCAAATTCCCTCTGCCTTACCGGTCAAAGTCGTTTTCTCTTGTGATCGTCTCAGACGCATTGGATTACCTCTCACCCAGGTACCTGAACAAAACCGTGCCTGAACTTGCACGGGTCGCTTCAGATGGTGTCGTTCTTTTTGCAGGTAACTAAAACCAAACCCTTGAGAAAGAAAAAACCAAAATTAAGAGATGTAAATCCAGTCTGATGGCACTTAATCTTCATCTATTACAGGTAACCCTGGTCAACAAAAGGCTAAAGGTGCGGAATTGTCGAAATTTGGACGACCAGTAAGTTCACTAAAACCAAGTCGTGTCATGAAGGAAACCACAGATTACATTCATCAATTCAGAGGTGTGAGTTAGGTTTATACATGTTCTGTTTGCTAACTTGATGCTATTTGAATATTTTGCAGGCTAAAATGCGTAGCTCGTCCTGGTGGATCCGTTTCTTCTCACAGACGAACTTAGAGGAAAACGAAGCAGCAATCAAGAAATTCGAACAAGCAGCTTCCAAGAGTTCATACAAACCAGCTTGTCAAGTTTTCCACCTCAAGCCATTACATTAGTACACACTAGATATTATTAATTTACTGGTCTTAAGATATCAAACCAGATATATCTCCTCTCTGTTAAATGCCTTTTTCACTATAGAAAGAAACAAAACTCCCACAAATTGTAACCCATTCTCAACGATTTGATTCATAATTTAACTATTTAAATAAATTAGCCTGCATTTATATGATATAAAACTATAATATCATCTGCTAGAATCTGGTACTCTAGTTTTTATAGGTAGTCCGCCAGTTGAATGGTCGAATAACCAATTTGAGATAAAATAGGTATAAATATGTTCAAGAAATGGTAGAATAACAGCTAAAATGAAGTATTAGGCTAGTTGAAGTGTATCACTGTTTCTCGCATTTAGATGTTTTTTGTCCTAAGGTTGGAGAAGGCTTGATGCAACTCTACAAGTCGAGAAGAGGCCCTTTCTATTTGATTAGGTTGATACGAGCCCAGGCCTAATACAATTCATACGTTAATTACATCGTTGATATCTATGGACAGTATGAAAACGGCCCATGTTACATTGGAAATACTCGTAATATTTGTATACATATCTAGGTTTTAAGTTTTTTTTTTTTTAATTCTTTTTTCTTAATCACTGGTTTTGTTGAGCCGAAACACAGAGTAATCTTATGATATATATGTGACCTATATAGCTGCTGCATGAGTCGTTTTCCAATCTATTATTGGTTTCAAAATTTGGGAACCATTTGCCAAAAAAGAAAAAAAAAACATTCAAACAAAATACAGCATAGATTTTTATATGGAAAAGGATATGAAGAGAGACAATTACAAAGTGGTATAAAGACATAAACATAAGTTGACCATACTGTTTGGTAACTTGGTATCCAATGCAGGTGGGATTTTTTGTTTTCATTTCTTTGTTGTTGTCTAGTTTGTTTGGATATGACCTACCCAATTGTCATATAACACCAACTTGTATCTATATACAACATCATTTATTTTGATTTAAATCTCTTTCATGATTTAAGCCTTTCAAATCTTAATTTTTTTTTGTGTAACCGTGAAATCTCAAAATCGAAACATAAACTTATTACTACTTCCACTGCATATAGAAAAGAGAAAACCGTGTTTTTCATTTTTTGTTAGTGAAAGATTTCTGGAGTGATGGTATATATATATATATTATAATGACAAAAAAATATACATATGAGATTTTGAGAGTGTGAAATGGGACCTACGTTTTCAATTCTTGGAACATGAATAGTGGAAACTAAGAAAAACAAAAAATCGAAAAAGAGAAAGATCACGATGGTTGTCACCAAAATGTTGTTGATGATGTAGGGACTTGGGGTGGGTAGGGTCGTATAACCTATACTTTTCACATGCATTCTTAAACCCTAAATCTACTGCATCTCCATGTGCCTCCCCTCACGTCTCTCCCTCTCTCTATCTGTTTTTTTTTTTCTTTTTAAATCAATTACAATAGAAATATATGCATAATTTTCGGGAACAAACCCGAAAAAACCGCCATCTATTTTTTTTGGCCGTTTAATACCTCGGTTTATTTTTTTGGAATAAAAATACCTTATATATTTATAGTTGGTAAAAAAATACCTCATTTTTTTATTGTTGGTAGATTCCAACCCACGACTTAACATCCGTTAACGGACGTTAAAAAATTATTTAACGGTGTTAAACTTTAACCTTACGTGTTTATACTAATATATACTATCCGTTGTACCCAATTATCATTATGTTGTCCTCGTCTAGTGGCAATGCGTTGGTTTTGTAAAATACAAGACCCTGGGTTCGACACTCCAACTTTTGTTTTTTTGTTTTTTTTTGCTTTTTTCTGTGTCTTCCTCGACAACCATGAAACCCTAGCCGTCGACCACCATGAATCGTCCGCCTCTTTTGTTTTCCTTGCCTCCTCCGCCTCTTTTGCTTTTTGATTTGATTGGATCCATATGTGATGATGCTAATGAATTGTTTCTTCGTTAGTTCCTTAAATTCATACAAATTGTTCTCATCACGTTTTTGTTTTTGTTTTTTTGTTTTCCTCTGAATCTGAAGGTTCAAGTAAAAAACTTCCCTCAATTAACAAAATTAAATAGACCAGATGTGGTCGGTGGTTAGGACACGGAAAGCAGTGACAGAGTAATCGCCATCGGAGAGGAAGAAGTCGCCGTCTCCACCGGTGAAGAAGATAAAGAACACACAAAAATTGGAAAAAAAAATAAAAAAAAAACTAAAATTGGGGATTCGAAACTGGGTTTTGTGAATTACTCAGCCCACACGTTGCCACTAGACGAGGATAATATAATTGTAGTGCTTACAAAAGGATAGTATATAACCTTATAAAAACGTAAGGTAATAATTTATCACCGTTAAATGGTTTCGTAACGTCCGTTAACGGATGTTAAGTCGTGGGTTAGAATCTACCAACAATTAAAAAATGAAGTATTTTTTTACCAACTATAAATATATAAAGTATTTTTATTCCAAAAAAATAAACCGAAGTATTAAACAGCCAAATAAAAAATAAATGGCGGTTTTTTCGGGTTTTTTCCCCATAATTTTCCCCAATTGCATCATATATATAACCAGCTAAAACAAGTTTGAAGCAAATTTTGCATATATACAATCCAAACTTCGTCAATTCTATTAAAGTTCGTTATCTTTTTCTTTTTTTGTGTGTGTGTGAAATATAGCGATTATTAGTTTAAGAAAACTCTTAATCAAAATAGTAGAGTATAATTGTTTTCGAAAATTATGTACTTGTTTTTATTTTAACTTCTTAAAAATCATACTGTTGAGACAATATTAATTTTTTTTTTTTTTTTTTGTCAAAGTTGAGACAATATTAATTATGGTCATGAAGAACCAAACAAATGTTTTATGTATCAATTGGCATATTTCAGCACAAGTCATTTTGTTTTTCTTGATTAATTTCTATTGTCTATACATATAAAAAAGAGAATATAACAACTATATATAACTATATCTTGATTTTTCAAAATATAGAATCTAAAATAGCTCTATGATAATAATTATCCAATTATGTGATTGCATTTTTGGGTTGATATGATATCTTTTGGTTGTTTCATAAAACAGAATCAAGAATATAATAAGATGATCAATACCGAAATATATGGCTTCATCACCAAATATTATTTCACATGTGATTCTCCAATGAGTCGTATTGGATTGTATCATTATTAAGAGTTGTTATACGAGGACCCATTTTTATCGAAGCAATCAAATCAATTTGAGCTTTTTAAAATCTTCAAAAATAATCTGAGAATATCACAACGTCTCATTAATTATTAAAAAGTACTTCAAAAAAGTGGGTATTCGAATTTGAAATGATAACGATTTCCTGACGTCAGAAAAATTTCTATAAGAAACAATAATTTTTTTTTTCTTTGGTTAGTTAAGAGACAATAATATGTTATATCTACCAAAGAATATTCCGGTTAAGTTAGTTAATAGTTGGAGTCAAACTTAAACGAACAACGTCGCCAACAAATCTGGGGGTATAAGTTATAAGTTTATAACCAACTGCCACCAACATTGGTTTTGATATCGTCCACCTGATTTTTTATGTTAATATAACTCAATTTGATGGATTAAATATTATGTTATTATACTAATCATTCTCCAAAACAATGATCAATTACTCATTTCAAATCATTTTTCCTTAAATTCTTTTTTTTTAGTCCCATGTTTCAAGAAATATTTATGCATTCTACTATTAGCTTATTTTAGACAAGAGTTTCGAATTTATATAAGAAGAAGTGTTTTTTTTTTCATTTATATATATTTTAAAAAAATCAGGATGAAGATAAATACAAGTAAAGACTCATTTCAACTAGTAGGAAAATATTATTTATTGTGCTTATGTTTTTATTATGATAACCATGAACCATCCAAACTCATTGTTTCACCCATGATGATTAAAGTAACTATATCAATATATCTGCAACAATATCTGTGGCTCAACATTTATTTTTACATAAACTGCGGATTTGATTAACCAACACAATTATGCTAAAACGTCTATTGATATTGGAGACCAATGTACGTCAATGAATACCGCATGTCCGCATAATTCACATTACAACTCCGGTCAATCTGTCAATTACAGGACTGAAAACATCCTAGTCAGTAAAAAACATATTTGTATGTGTACGATCCCACCAAATAAATAAGTTGTTGTCAATGAATAGAGGAAGAGAAAAAGAAAAAAATTGGCGGACCAATACATTTGGGACTACTAGAGTTTAGGGAGCATAAATGGTCCTATTTGACTTACCCTCAGGCGTCTACCGTATAAATAAATGTATTTTAGCTGTATAAATGTATACATACGTATATGCATACGTATACAGGATTAATTCATCGAGCCCTTAAGACGATTTGATGTCGGTATGGCATTACATTTGACTCCCTCCACTTGTCTCTCTTCGCTTTTCTTTGTATGTCATTTCCTTGTTTTTCAATTTTACGTTTACCACCCTATTTTATTTTGTTAATATTTAATAAGTCAACGAGTTGACACTTAACTACAGAATCTGGCTGTCAAAAAAAAAAAAAAAAAACTACAGAATCTGATAATCAAATTTACATAAAATGATCACAACTTTTGACAGCAAAATACTCACATTATAGGACATAGAGAATTTTAGAAGTCGATAAATAGAAATTATGAGGCATTAGTATTGGACAAAGACAAACACTGGAATATATTATATGTTGTTTTTTTTCTATCCAACTTCATAGAGCTAATTTTTTAGCTGACATATCATGACTCATGATGAGTGGACTTATTAAACTAATAACAAGTATAGTAATTCAGTTTATACGTACAACAACAAAAAAAAGATTAATTACATTTAAGTTTTCTTTTTTAATTGCTCTGTTTGGTCCCTAAAGGATGGTAATAATATGGACGGTCCGGCGGTGACGGAAACGCGTAAAGACTAATTATTTTAGTAATACTAATTATCATTATTTTAATCTATCATGATTATTTCCTTTTTCATCCGGGCTAATTTGTAGAATTATTATTTCATATGCTTGATCCTAGTAAAACAATAAAAAAATTAAGGAAAAAGCTCAAAATGTGTTATTTAATTATGTATGTATACAGTATATAGAATTGGAGAGAAAACAACATTTTTCAACCTCAACTG